TAATGACAGGTTTGAGTAGGAGGAGCCCATTGACGGCAGCTCACTCAATAAAAACTGTAACTTACTGTCCCAATTTGGAGGTGATTTCACTTGCAGAACAACGAAGGAAGAATCGCAAGTGTAGGCCGGATCAGATTGATCACCTGACCCACCCTCTCCGTGAACACGAATCTCTTAGTTCACACTGAAGCTGCAGAGCACCCGAAAGGGACTGAAAGAAGGGGACTTATTCCTATCAGTATGGAGGCCAGCCCATTGAATTGTATTGCTGAGGCGAGCCCATTGAACCGTACTACTGAGGCCAACCCATTAAATTGTACTACTGAGGAATGAAACCATATTTTGGTATTTGGCTTCTCGGAATTCTAGGATTGTAAGTACATTATGAAAAATAATAGTATTGATTCAAATTTAACTTTTAGTTGTAATTGTAGTTGTTTTTGTAATACTAATTCTTATAGCGTTGTTTGGGAAGGAAGTGCATTTGGAGCATTGTTTCTGATATATGTAGTTATTGTGTTCTTAATGTTTATGGTGTTTCTTAAAGCTAAGCAGTGTTATATACGTAGCAAAGAGTTTTAAAATAAAATTGTGTTGTATAAATTAAGTGTGTAATCATTGTGAAATCATGCAATCAGCTAACTACTCCCCCAGCCAGTGCATCAAAACGAATCAGTAAATTGTTTGGGATTTTCTCTATTCCATAACCCACTAGAGACAATGTAGATGCACCCAATATGTTCTGCAAGCTTCGTTAGTCTTTCTGGAACAGTGCATAAGGCAGCCCTGATTGGCTAACCCAGACTGCCCATAGTCAGGTAGTGTCAGCATGGACAAACATTCACCCTCCCAGGAGAAACTCTCCTGGCAGTTATTTAACCCTAGTTGTTCCCAGATTATTTTTCTCCTGCAACAGCCAATTTTACTTTGGGAGAAAAAGCCTGAACATCTGTACACACATGATTTCTCTTAGAAGAGCAACAACTGTTCAACAGAAGCCACTGTTGGTCATTTGATGATTCTAATTATCTGAAACCAGATATGAAGTAAAAGTGAAATAATGAAATTAATAAATGTGCTACAATAAGGCCCATTGCTTTTGAGGGAGAGAGAGAAAATGCATGTTAAACAAGGCCTCAAGGGTATTTTTGAGCAGAAACCTAATCATAGCCTATATCAGGGCTGTCTGACTTCTGAGTGATAGTGGGGGGAAGGCACAAGCTGCACAACCAGCCCCCCGCAAGCCACATGTTGTATGGGCAATACACCACACCACAATGTGCTATGCCATGCCGCATGAGCATCCCCCATCATGACACATGCTAGGCACTCCCCTGTTGCACTGTACCAGCACCCTCACTGTGTGAAGTTTCCAGGTCTCCCCAAAGACACCCCCCCTCCCCCGACACAAGCTCCCTGCAGGCACTGCAGGCCATGCCATCTCACCTTGCTACTGGGAAGGGGTGCAGAGGAAGAACGGGGAGAGTAAGCAGAAGCTAGAGGATGGAGGGAGAGACACCAGCAACAGCAGCAGGAGAGTAATGAGGGGAGCAGTACCCCCTCAAAGCCTGGGTACTACAAGTTAACACTTAGGAGGCTGCACGCTGCCCAATAGGCCATTAGTTGGACAGCTCTGGCCTAGAAGACTGGAAGTAGAATACATCTGATTTCCCAGATTAAACTGACAGCTGTTCCTGAACTTTTCTGAATAGTCCAAAATCTTCATACTGTGTCCTAATGTCCCTAAAGAGTTCCTGAAACGGAAATATTTTCCCAAATTGGGGGGGGG